TGAAATCTCGGCGTTCTCGGTTCAAGACTCGACGTTGTCTTCCAAGACTCGATCTGTTCCCACAGTCAAGGACAAGTATGTCCTCTGTTCGAACTGTGGAAGAACAAGACACACTGCCGATTCCTGTTTCCAGATTTTGGGTTTTCCGGATTGGTGGGGCGATCGTCCTCAGAATCTCTCCAGCCGAGATCGTGGACAGTCGTCAACCTCTCGCAGTCGTGGCACTGGCCGTGCCAACGCCACTTGCTCTGTTCCCCCGATCGGCTCTCAGCCTCCTGGTCCAACACTTTTGCCCACAGACAGTCCGACACCGAGTGGAATAAGTGCGGATCAATGGAAGATATTAATTTCGCTTCTTAATGCCGGAAAGATTGGTGCTACCGAAACCTCTTCGGGTACGTTTTCTTCTGCTGTTTGGATTCTTGATACTGGGGCATCTCACCATATGACTGGTTGTATCGACATTTTACATAATGTTTCTCCCATGGCTCCTTTCAACATCGTGCTTCCTGATGGACGTCGCACGATTGTTGATCAGTCCGGGACAGTTTGTCTCTCTTCGGCTCTCCATCTGTCTGACATTTTTTTTGTACATGGATTACACGTTAATTTGATCTCCGTGTCTCAGTTGCTCGCCGATCGGACGTGTAGTGTACAGTTCACTGATAAGTTGTGCTTCATCCAGGACCTCGCTACGAGGACGCTGATTGGAGCGGGTGAGTTACAAGATGGTCTCTATCTTTTTCGAGGCGTTGAGGTTGCTGCTGCTGTTCGATCCGGTGACAAGTTGACATTTGATCTTTGGCATCGGAGATTAGGACATCCCTCGTCTAAAGTATTAGAGCAGATTCCGAACATTGATTGTCATGGTTCTGTTGATTCTTTGGGTTTTTGTAACATTTGCTTAAGAGCAAAACAAACTCGTGTTTCTTTTCCTTTGAGTTCTAATAAATCTTCGGATATATTTGATCTTGTTCACTGCGATTTGTGGGGGCCGTATCGTACACCATCATTCTGTGGTGCACGGTATTTTCTAACGATTGTTGATGACTATTCTCGCGGCGTATGGTTGTTTCTTCTCTCGGAAAAGAATCATGTCTCTCGTGGCTTTCTTGAGTTCTTGGCTATGGTCGACCGCCAGTTCTCGAAGAAGGTTCGTACCATTCGATCCGACAATGGCAGTGAATTTCTGTGCCTCTGTGACGAGTTTCGATCGCGCGGTATAACTCACGAAACTTCATGTGTTCACCCTCCCCAACAGAACGGTAGAGAGGAACGCAAGCACCGTCACATTCTCAACGTCGCTCGTGCATTAATGTTTCAAGATGCATTTCCGATTGAGTTCTGGGGAGATTGTGTATTGGTTGTCGGTTTCCTGATTAATCGTACTCCATCGACGGTTCTATCCGGTCGAATGCCTTTCGAAGTTCTCTATGGACGCAACCCCGATTACTCACAGTTGCGTTCGATTGGTTGTCTTTGTTACGCTCATAACAAAGATATCAAGGGAGATAAATTTGCATCTCGTAGTGTTTCGGTGTTTGTGGGATATCCGTCGGGAAAGAAGGGATGGAGACTGTATGATCTCGGCAATCATCGTTTTTTTGTTTCTCGGGACGTTGTGTTTTGTGAAGACCAATTTCCGTTTGCTGCATCGTCTTTGTCGTATCTTAGACTCCTTCTTCAGATCGGTTAGTTTCGGCCCCTTTTCCCTGCGTTGACGATGATCTTCTTAAAGCTCTGCCTCTTTCCTCTGTAACCCCGGTGTCTGATCCCCCTCCGAGTTCTATCTCTCATGCCCCTGCTCTACTCAATCAGACTTCGCCCGTCAGGGGGGGCACCGAAGTCGTGTCCAACTCTATTGATGCTCCGGATACTTCCAATGACCTTGGCCGTGGAAAACGTCAGAAATTCCCGTCGACTCATTTGAAGGATCACGTCACCAACACAATTTGCATCGACCCCTGTACAGTTGGCTCTGTTCCCTCTTCGGTTCGGTGTCCTGTTGCTGGTGGTCCTTTTCCGATTGCTCATTCCCTGGATTTTTCTCAATTTTCACTCCCTCATTGGGCCTTTCTCGCTGCAATCTCTGAGGACACCGAACCCCGATCCTACAAGGATGCTCTGCGCGATCCCAAATGCAAAGAAGCCATGCACTCAGAGATCGCCGCTTTGGAGAAAAATCAGATGTGGTACGTTACTCCGCTTCCCCCTGGAAAGAAAGCCATTGGTTGTCAATGGATTTTTAAGATAAAATATCGATCGGATAGTACGGTTGAACGGTACAAAGCACGGTTGGTTGTTCTTGGTAATCGACAAGTGGACGAGTTGGACTACGGTGAGACATTCGCTCCCGTCGCTAAAATGGTCACGGTTCGGACATTTTTGGCGGTCGCCGCTACACGGAAATGGGAGATTCATCAAATGGATGTTCATAACGCATTTTTACACGGTGATTTGCGTGAAGAAGTCTATATGAGACTTCCCCCGGGTTTTGAGTCTCATGGGGCAGGCACGGTATGTCGTTTACGCAAGTCCTTGTACGGCCTTCGTCAAGCTCCTCGGTGTTGGTTTGACAAACTATGCTCGGCATTACAAGGATATGGGTTTGTTCAATCTCAATCTGATCACTCTCTTTTCACGTTTCGAGATGGGATTGTTCAGGTTTGTGTTCTCGTCTACGTCGACGCCTTGATTATCTCTGGGAACTCTCCTATGGCGTTAAGTGCTTTTAAGCAATATTTAAGTTCGTGTTTTCACATGAAAGATCTCGGCTCTTTGAAGTATTTTTTGGGTTTGGAAGTTGCTCGCAACAACACCGGGATTCATGTGTGTCAACGCAAGTACGCCCTCGATATTTTATCGGAAGTTGGTCTACTCGGATGCAAACCTACTCTCTTTCCGTTGGATCAAAATCATCGGCTGTCTCTCTCGGATAGCCCTCTCCTTCCCGATCCTTCCAGATATAGACGGTTGGTGGGCCGCCTCATCTATCTTATGGTGACGCGTCCGGAACTCTCTTACTGTGTTCATATCTTGTCGCAATTCATGCAACAGCCGCGACAAGATCATTGGACCGCGGCGATCCATGTTGTTCGTTATCTGAAGAACGATCCCGGACAGGGTATTTTGTTTTGCTCCGACTCGGATCTGCGGTTGCGTGCTTGGTGTGATGCAGACTATGCGGGGTGTTCGCTTACTCGGAAATCTCTTAGTGGTTGGTTCATTCAACTCGGATCGTCTCCCGTTTCGTGGAAGACGAAAAAGCAGTCGGTTCTGTCCTTGTCCTCAGCTGAGTCCGAGTACCGTGCCATGCGAGTCACAACGTCGGAGCTCATCTGGATCAAGAGTCTTCTCGGTAATTTCGCAGTCCACCATCAAGACCCATGTTGTTGTTTTGCGATAGTCAAGCGGCGTTACACATAGCTTCTAACGACGTGTTTCACGAACGTACCAAACACATCGAAGTCGACTGTCATTACATTCGTCATCACCTCGACATCGGCAACATTTTTACTCAACATGTTTCGATTCACGACCAACTAGCGGATATCTTCACTAAGGCGTTGGGCAAGAAAAAATTTACGTGATTTCTCGACAAGTTAGGCATGTCTACCCGTCATTCTCCAACTTGAGGGGGGGTGTTACCGAAAATCTCGAACATGCGTATATTGCCGTATATCTTGTGTATATCTTGTCCCCTTCCCCAACTGATTCGTCCGATATTCTCTGCGATTTGGTTACTTCTTGTTGTATATGTACACACATCTTTCGATCAATACGAACACAGATTTCTCCAAGCTCGTAACCTATTACCGTCTTATCTATGAGATCGGGTTGGTTTGGTCCGAAAATTATGGACCAAAATTCGAGTTCATATATGATTGGTCGAACCCGACTCGATTAAAATTTTAATTATATATTATAAGTATATATATATATATATATTTATAAATCCAATCATATATATATATATATATATAATCATTATGATTTTTTAAATATATTTAAATTTTGAGTAAAAAATACAAAAATTATATAATAAAGAGAATAATATTTTTTTTTAAAAAAAATTGCTTAATACTAATAATTTAAGAAATAATATTATTAATTTTAAATAGTTATTCGGATTGAAAAATATAACAATTAAATATTTAAATAAATTTCATTAAAATATAAAACTATGAGAATTTGAATTTGAATTTCTCTTAAATCAAGATAAATATTTATTAAAATTTGTTATCGAAATTCTGTTCGTTAGTTATTTCAAACATGTTAAAAATTTTGTATTTTAATTATTTTGAATTTGCATTTTTACAATTTATTTATATGATAGATTTTTTTTTTTCCAAAGTACGAAGTCCGATCCAAATCTATACAAAAACTCACAAAACCGAATTTCAAAGAAAAAGATTTTAAACTCAAGTGAAAAAGGGACGCAAAGTAAAGTGTATATTTTGCCCCGAATTTAAACTTTAAATTTAAGAAGGAAACGTATAATCCAAATCATATAGTTATTTCTTGATCACGAGATTAATCCGTAATATCTGATTATAAAAAAAAAATTAACCCATTTATATTTTGGGTCGGATCCGGCCCGCCATATAAATCTTCGGTTCAGGTCACAACCGGTGCAGTGACTACCATTGATGAAAAAGACAAACTTACTACTGCAAAGGAAGACTCTGACCACCTCATATTGAATGTTTATAACATTATTTCACATTTTTTAAAAAGGAATTTCGATTACATACCCAAAGCAAAATGCTTTTGGGACAACATTCGCAATACCACGGTTCACTTAACCAATGTATAAAGGTATAATTCTCTCGCATTAATCACATAAATATAACCAAGGGTCATGGGTTGCTTGGAAGCGGGTCGGGTCGGGTCGGGTCAAGGTAGATAATTTCTTTAGGGGTTGCAATTGAAACATTAGGAAATTCAGGGGGTATGTTTGTAATAAAGGAAAATACTTGGGATGCCGCGAAGAGGAGAGAAAAATCGAGCAGTTAGTCTTGGCATCGGCTGTTTTGGTTTCTCAAAACCCTAATCTGAATCTACTCGAATCCTTCTCAGCTCTGTAGCCCGAGGTGTTCGAGAGGAGGAGGACGACGACGAGTCATCAATGGCGGACGTGGAAAACCAACAAGAGCCTCCGTTGCCGGTGAAGAGGAAGGCAGATCTCTATTGTCAAGACCAGGATAATGCCGCGAACAAGGCTCAGAAGCTTCAACCCTCGAATTCCACTGCTTCTGAATCCAAGGATGAAGGGAATTGCGGAAATCTGGATTCTGCAAAGGAGAAGGCAGAGATCGAGCCAGAGCTCGTGATTTCGCCGGAAAAAGCCGCCATGCCTGCGGCGGAGAGAGATGAAATCTGCGGCGGGGGGGGCTATCTCGAAGGTGAAGAAGAGCAAGAGGAAGAAAATGGGGAGGAGGAGGAGGCGAGGAGAGAGGCTGAGGTCGACAGGAAAGGTAAAGTGGCTATCTCGAAGGTGAAGAAGAGCAAGAGGAAGAAAATGGGGAGGAGGAGGAGGCGAGGAGAGAGGCTGAGGTCGACAGGAAAGGTAAAGGCATTATGAGGGATTATAAGGGGAAAGGAAAACTGATCGAAGATGATGACAGTGACGAAAACGACGAAGAAGGCGATGACGAAGACGCCGACAGCGATTTGTCGGACGATCCGTTGGCAGAGGTGGATTTGGATAACATTCTTCCATCAAGGACGAGGAGGCGCGCGATGCAGCCTGGATTGTATATCTCTGGTGAAATCGCTAACCATGATGATAATGATGATGACGACGATGATGATGATGACGATGAAGACGACGAAGACGATGATGATAGCGAGGATAGTGAAGCTTGAATGTCGCAAGGTTAGTGCCCAAGAATCGAGATATCATCCTCGATTCTAAACAGAGAGAGAGAGGGAGGGAGGGTCACTGTTAATTGATTTTGCGGTATCTATCTTCGACGCTTAGATCATCAAAAGTGGGCAGTTTATCTATGATGGTATTGCAATTCAACTCATTTGCCTGCTGGATTTTCCATTTTCAGGTGTCATAATTTGTATCGATGCCTATCATGCTCCAATCTGTTTTCCATTTTCTGTGTTGAATAACCTTTGCCCTTGTCGCAAAGATGCTTTTTTTGGCCTCTCTGTCTCCGTCTTGAATTCGTCGTTACAAGCAAGTTCGCCGCCTTTAACATTTGGTTTTTGGATTGCCAGATGATAGATTATCAACTTGAGATAGACGGAAGGTGAGAATCTTTGTCAGAATGCAATGAAATCATTCATGTTCTTGTGCTCTCTTAGTTGAAGAAGGGAAGGTTTGATAAGATCGGATGTTTAACTCGGAAGTTTGGTTAGGGTTATGGAGTTGGGATCACTTCAAGTTCGAGATGGGCACATTTCTTTTTCATGTTCTTATCAACTGCCACTTTTTTTTTTCTTTCTGTTTTATGATTAGATTCAGTACACAACAATTACTGCCAGAGATGTCAAACGAGTCAGTTTGGATCGGATCGATTCGTTTCGAGCCAGTTCATTTTTAGTCTAGCTTGTTAAGCTCGTTTTTATTGGAGCCAGAAAATTCCTGGTTCAGCGAACCTACTCATATCTTTCTAAATACCTAAAAAAATTCGTATTAAATTATACAAAACCATATCCAAATGATACATCAATATAAAAAGAACATATCAATACATCCAAATCATATTGATATTTATAATCACAATCCATAAATCAAATCACAATCCATCCATGTATAAAAAAACCATTTTCATATCCTAATCCATCCATATACAATCAGATTTTAATCCAGATATAAAAAACCATCTTCAAATCCTAATTCATGTATAAAAAATTATCTTCAAATCAAAATATCATACCAAACAATATCAACAGGATGCGTAAGCCAACGTAAGAAATCTTTTTTTTTTACCTCTAGTTCGCGAGCCGACCAAGCTAGCTCGTTTGGGTTCGTTTCGTAGCGAGCTGACTCACTCATCCTGTTTTTTATTCGGGTTCAGATATTTTTGACTCGGCTCAGTAAAAAAAGAGTCAACCTCAAACTGGTTCGCAAACTCGGTTCGTTTTGAATTACTACTCATGGGTCAACATGGAAATTACTCCTTCAAACGATTATTTTCTTTCATGTGTTCTGTTTTCAAAATTTGCTAATGGGTCCATTGAGAATGGGGCCTAAGGTTATATAGTGTGTATGCATGGCAGATAAATCAAAGAGTAATCAAAATTTCCATATCTTATAATAAAATTTATTCCAAAAGTAAGTAAAAATCCCTAGCATTTATCTCTTTTTCTGGTTTTGGTATGAATTGTAAATCCTAAAAAAGAGAGAATAAAATAAACTGGTCCAAAACTACAAAAGAGAAGATGGAAAAGATGATGGCAAAGAGATTTTTATCCATACACTTCAACGCTTCTTCTTGCTTGCCTTTGATGGGGATGCGATCAGATACGCAAACGCTACGACAAGGGAGATGACGGAGACATGAGATCCATACTTAGCCGCCAATCTCTGCACCAAAATGGATGAGACATATTCATGAACAACCAACCCACGCTTGCAGCATCTAATCAATGGCCAAACTTTGTTCATGAATGCTATGGTTCGCCACATATGATCAGTTATATTCTTGAATGGCCATGTCTTTCCATTTATGAATGGTTGGTTATCTTCTCATCATATGCAGTGCCTATATATATATACACCAATTGCGACTATTCACATCACGTTCATGAATTAAGATAACTTTAGGTGAATGGGTTCTAATAAGCCTTTTGTTAGAAAATTGACTCCTATCAAAGAGGCTGGCTTTCAAAGCAGAGAGACACACGCGGGATTACCTTTGCCTGGATAACAGCAGCACCCAACGAAGAACAGTGACATGAAACAACACACAGTTGAATTGGGTGAGTCAACACAGGGAGAGCCAATTAATCTATGCATCAAAGCAATTCTAGTAAAACTCATGTACCCATTCAAACTTCTGTTCGGGGACTCTCTCCGCAAGAACGTCGAGAGGCAATATCGGAGTTGAATATGCCTGGATTATACACACAATCATAGATGGTTGTCACAATAAGATCAAAGTTCCTTTCATTTTTGTTCTTTATCTTGAACGGAAACGTGCAGAAACGGGAAGATTAGATAAATGACCAAACCTGAAGGACACCCTTTGACGGAACACGGAAAGTAACCACAGCTGGTGAACCGTAGAACAAGCCTTTCGTCTTAGCCTCCAATTCAAACGAGTGTGACAGAACATCCCCTCTGCACGAGTCGTCATAAAAGTTTACAATTTCTCAAAATGATCGTTTTTATACGGGAATGAATTGAAGTAGATTCTGAACCGGAGGGAACAGCATCAGCAACTCACACGTCGAGCTTTTCCCATGACATTGAAGTGTTGCCGCTCACAATATCGAAGATATCTGAATTCCAGCCATCATCCGCCACAGACACATCGTAGGCTGTCCTGAAAATTACACAAGACACATTTCAATATTGCTTTATGTCTGTTGCTAATGTAAGATTCTGCTCAAACGTTATGCCCGTAAGCAATTTACATCTCCAAAAGAGCACATTTGCACTGATATCGAATAAGATCAAAAGAAGATCTGAAAAACCACAATATTTTGCCTACACACAGGATCAAAGCTGGGAAAATTTCTCTCGGATTTGTTTTTGATTGACCTTTAAGCATTCAAAGTCAGAAAAATTCCCCAGTTCTGCTCAATAGCCGAATCAAATTCAAATAATGTGGATAGCGTCAGATTTATTCTACGCGTTTATTGAACTTTTTAGCGAACACACTCCGAAGAATTCACCACTTCTGTTCAATGACCATAACAAATTCCAACATCCTAATGAATATGATTGGCAATCAGCGAGATCGACCAATCGAACCCAGGACCAGAATTCGAACAGATCAGTAGAATCTCGATCGGAAAAAGCATGCAAAAAGTTCTCGAGCGAAGCAGCAAACGACAGATCTAAGAAACAGAGATCGAGAAAGAAATCATCCAGTAATTGAAAACAAAATAAACGTACGAGGATCCCTGGTTGTAGATGTCGATGGTGACGGATACGCGTTCGGATCCAGATTTGAAGGGGGAGAGAGACGCCTTCTTGTGGACCACCATGAAAGGCACCTCCGAGCTCGCGAGAGAAGCCGAGAACAAAACCATGAATACCAGAGCGAAGGTCGAAGAAGATCTCGTCATGTGGATCGCCATTGAGAGACAATGCTCGTGAAGAAACTGTTCCCAATTCTCAAATTGTCGCCGGAGCCGGTGGGTTTTGCTCTGCCGTTGTATCTCAGATCGAATTGGTCAAAGGTGATGATGATGCGTTGTTTATATAGAATATGACCTCATGAAATTTTTTGCTTGGGACAAAAAGAAAAAGAAAAAATCATTTAGAAAATAAAAATAATATAAAAATAATAATAAATAATCATTGCAATTTTTTGTTGTCGATATGCACAACAAAACCATGATAAAATCTCTAAGATTTTCCTTAAAAACAAATTAATTATTAACAAATATTTAAATGGTGTAAAAACAAAAAAAAAATGTATATAAAGAATAAATTTCATGAAGCCGATTAATTACATAGTATTTCATGCTTTTGATTTATGTAAAATATGATATCATTAGCATATGCTACGGGTCGAGATATTTGATTAATATGTGTGTAAGATATGGTAATAAATATTTTTTATTTATTTTGGGTAAGAAGTAGAAATTATATGGTAGTAAATATATATTATTTCTAACAAACTCTAGTATCAATTTTTAATACCTATATGTCAATTCAATATATATAACGAACTCGGTGTATATATTAATATTAATCGGTCTCGGTGTTGTTGGACGTGACGATCCATGCAACTTGCGTAAATGCTTAATCGTGCTCAACGGGCAATATAGCACAAATACCCTTACTTTGCTACATAAACTTCACGGACTACCCTCCAAAACCCTAAAATTTTAGAAAAAAAAATAAAAGGAACAAAAGACATAATTAACCCTCTCACAAAAAGTAACGTGGTATTCCTCTCTTCATTTTGAATTCATCTCTCTCATTTTCATTCTTTGATAACTCTTCATTTCTTTCTTAACTTTCTCTCTCTACTCTTATATTTCTCTCAACTCTTTCATTTTCTCTCTTCTCATTTCATTTTTATACATAGAAAAACAAACGAAAAATGGTTATTTCGTTGAGCATATCTTCACCGACGACCTCATATCTTCTTCTTGAGTCGGTCTAAGACAGAACAAATGACAAAAACTGAAGGTAAGTTCATTAATACAAGAGATTGATTCGATGCATAAACTTTGTGTTTTGGGTTTGAGTTTTATGATTTTTAGAGTGAATCGTGTATTTTTTTTATGAAAATGAGATAGATGCATAGCAAATCTGTCGAAGAATATGCAAGAGGCGTATATTTAATGCCAAATAAATGTTTGGAGCAATAATGGAACAGATTGACAAAGGTACGTTACATTGGTTACACCGTCTAAAATTTAATTTTGATCACACTGGTCACACTAGTCACATTGGTCACACAGGTCACACTGGTCACACTAGTCATACTGGTCACATCGTTTAAAATTTGTTTTGGTCACACTGGTCACACTAGTCACACTAGTCACATTGTCACACTAGTCACATTGGTCACACTGGTCACACCGTTCAAAATTTAGTTTTGGTCACACTAGTCATATTAGTCATATTGGTCACACTAGTTACACTAGTCACATTGGTCACACCGTTCAAAATTTAATTTTGGTCATACTGGTCACACCGTTCAAAATTTAGTTTTGGTCACACTGGTCACACTGGTCACGCCGTTCAAAATTTAGTTTTGGTCACACTGGTCACACTAGTCACACTGGTCACTTGGGCACACTGGTCACGCTGGTCACACCGAAAAATTTTAAAATTCACGCGAAAATTTTAACTTTTTGTGGTGGAGGGAGTTTTAAAAATTTTAAAATATTTAAATTTTTTCATAGGGAACCGAAAACTGTTCTCTCTTTCTTCTGTTTCTGTCATTGGGACCCACGCCAATGGGTATTATGGGAATAACATAATTATAAGGGTATGTTTTGAACTAACTTTTTTTTTTATTTTTGCAGGGGTATGCCTTGAAGTCTTTGTAGCATAATAGGGGTATTTTTGATAAAACCCCTGCTCAACGTGTCATGTATATATATATATATATAATATTTGTGTGTTCATGGGCCGAACGTGCACTGAGGTTCTCTCAAGCAAGCCACGGTCGACCTATACGTATTTTTGATGAATTACGAAATTCGTATAAATAATGATATATATATATATATATAAATGCATAATTGAAAATAATGACTTACCCTTTGGAAATAATGAATTGCCCTTTTATGCTATAAAAGAGAAACGTTGAGGTGAGAGATTGCATCGAATTCTAATTTAGGAGAAAGAGTGCAAACTCAACTAGTGGAGATCCAAATTCCAATCTCCATTTAAAGAATAACATTAACATGTAATTTTTTGATATTTTAGGAGATGAAAAATAAAATGAATTTTCATATTATAAAAAAATACAAAATCTAAACCGGAGAAAAGTCCAGTAATTAAGAAGTCTATTATATATATATATATATATGTATATATATGAGACGTGTATAGATTAGATAAAAAAAAATGGATGGCTTTATGTTGTACGGATAGTATTTGGAGGGAATGTAGGTTTGATGTACCTTACTAGAAAAATTTTAAAAAATGATTTTATACTTTTCTTTTATCGCAATTTAATTTTTCTATTTTTTTATCATATTAAATTGTATATTTATAATATCTAATAATATAATATTAATAATTTTAAAAAATTGATAAATAAACTTTTAAATACAAAATTTTTAAAATATAAATATTTTATTGGTAGATATTATAATTACAATAGAATAAAAAATATAGAATTTAAATTGCGATCAGAAAAAATATAGAATTTTTTTGGGAAATAATAATAATAGGGTTAATTCCAAAAAAAATCCTCAACTTGTAAAACACTAGAAAACTAATTCCTCAACTTGTAACCTTTCATAATAATTAGTGAACTTGATAAATTAGGCATAAAAATACCCAAACATGTTAAATACCGTAATTAAAAATATTGACCAACGTTAACAACAAACAACATTAATCGTTGCTGACATGGCGGAACACATGTACTGCCATATTATAATATTATGCAGTATCAAAAAAATATTTTAAATTTGAATGGATTTAATCGAATCAAAATTCAGTAATTTGTTTTAATTAAAATAATATTAAAAATTATTTTTTTCCTTTTCCTAAATGTCCCTCTCGAAATGTCATTTCATAAAGTTAAAAAACTCTAATTTCTATTTTTCTCTCTATCGATTTTTTAAATTTATGTTTCATGGATCCTTCAAAAATGGTGAAATCTTGTTGGACTTCTTTTCTGAATCCTTCCTCTTCTTCGAAATGGTGAGAAAGAGAGACGAATCTCACGATGTTGTACGCAAATGAAAACAGCCGACGAAGATGAAGACAAGTTGTACGCAAATGAAAACAGAAGTTGTCGAAGAATGAGAAAGAGAAGAACTTCACGGTGTTGTACAAAAATATGAAGTACAAGAAGAAGAAAGCGAAGATGAAGACAGATGATGATGATGAAGAAGATACGGAGTAGAAGATAAGAGCTTAGAGAAATATTAAGGTTCACATGAATTTTTTTAAAAAAAAGGAATAGAATTTCCGTAAATTGCGATCGAAAGAAAATTTGGTGAAAAAATAATTATTTAAATAAAAATAAATTAGTGATTTGGTAAACTGTTGATTCAACCGATCCAAAAATTAAAATAATTTTGATGACATGGCGGTAACCATATGGACAACATTTAACGTTGTTTATTGTCAACGTTAGTCAACATTTTAATTAAGTTTGAGTATTTTTATGTCTAATTTATCAAGTTGAGGAATTAGTTTTCTAATGTTTTACAAGTTGAGGATTTTTTTTGGAATTAACCCAATAATAATAATGATGACGACGATGATGTTGATGATGTGTATCAAATATTGTACAAATGAAAAAAGAAACTCAGGCTGTTTTGGTCCGAACATGACCGAGCCTCCTCAACTTGTACGCCGCTATTTATGGGATCGATCCATGCTTGCATTTTTCAAATTATAAAAGAATAATCACAAAATCAATTTCTTTTTGGCAAATTGTGATAAATATGTACAAAAGTGGGCATGGGCCACTGCGGTATGCACAACTTGTTGAAGCAAAGTCAGCTCAGTTGGTGATGCCGAAGTATCTTGGGTTTTCCGGGTGATGGTACTCCACATTCAACTGCAATTTCATCCCAAAAGTTTGTATCATCTTACATACACATATACATATATACATATACATATACATATACATATATACATGCACATATACACTGTGTAGTGAGTAGAATCATATCATCGTACCTTGCCCTCATCAGAATCTGTGTGGCGTTGAGGAAACACGACTTTCAAGTCATTATACAGATAAAACCTCCTCTCCCCTTCTGCCTCCAATCCCTGCTTTTGCAGGGTAGATGCATCGGTTTCATCGGATTTCCATTTCCGAGCCGAATTCGAAGCTTTCTTCGGTGATGGGCAAAGAAATCTCAGATGCAGGGCATAACGTAAAGCACCGGAACCGCCATTGCATTCTTTTCCCTTTGAACAGCTCTCCTCCCTTTTCTCTCTGCCAGTTTCATGGCGCCACTGGCTTTTCCCACATCCATTCTTCTCATCTTCGGTCATCAAAAGGTTGCCATCCAATTTCCGACGGGCATCTACCGAATCAGATCTTTCACCACCTTGAGTACCGAGAGTTTGGTCCGCATGAATGGAGCTGTCTCTTCTCGAGCTCTTGTCTCTTGTATTCTGCTTAGATTCGTTACTTGGTGCAGAAGATGCCAGAGTAACCTTTTGGCGCAAGAACGTCTGTTTATAACCGAAGAGAAGAGTTGAAGAGATAGAAAGCATATCGAAAACAGAACATGCTATCGTCAAAGAAGATTTCTGAAGAGTGAAAGCATACAGAAGAAACGTTTTAGAAATCGAACGGGTGCAAATGAAGCAGCTAATTGCTGGCATCTTGCCATGATGGACTCGTATACAAACCGATAATTCGGCCTATTGGCTTTGAACTGTTGCATGTTATAGATAGAGGCACCAAGCATATATCTATAGAAAAAAGACATGAAAATGCACATACACCCTATTTGATGGTTCTTCATAGTAATAATAAAAAGGACCAAAAAAACTTGACCGGCGGTTAATAGGTTCCATGTGTTTACTTACCTTTGTACCAGCTGGCATGTCGGTTAAGTCGTAGTTACAGAGGAAAGTGTGGAGGGGTGTCTTTTCTGGGTTACTCAGAACCTGCAGAAAGGGCAGTTCATATCATAAAATAACTTAGTGTAACACTAAGAACAAAACCCAATTTACATAATGATCCACAGTATTAACATGTTATTTTGATCTTCACAAATACCGAGAGCTAATGTGAAAATGAGAATGGTAGTGTTGAGCTATACAACCAAATGATGCGAGTCTATGAAGTTTCGCTCAAAATGGAACAAGAAACAAAGAGAGGAAACTTACCAATTGGATCCGTCCCTTCATGGGGATACGCAACCGGCTCTTGACACACTGAGAATCAGAGTTGTTTTGGTTCGTTTTCACCTTCTGACACCAGAGTTTGTTTGAAGAAGATCCCGCAGCAAGATCAATGGAGGCGTAGTACAGTAAGGAGCAATCACCATCAACACTAGATACTGAGAAAGGCAGCTTCTGTGATTTTGGCGAGAAATTCCCGCCAGCAATACTTAGTACGGCAAGAAATCCATCGATTCTCTGCACAGACAAGCAGAACAATGGTTAAGAGTCTAAGGGCACAGAGCTAAAGTTGTGGATTTACACTGCATCTATGGATTGTGGCTCTTAATCGTGGGTTTATGGTTTTTTGCATAAGCAAGACCCACGATATTGTCTTTTGCCTTGTGACTGTTGCAGATATAGATATTGGTTATAGTAGATACAAATATGGATACCATAGTAAACATAGATACCTACAAATAGGAAACAAAGAAAAGAAAAGAAAAGGCCTAAGTCCATTAATATAATTACTGATTAGGACTTGTCAAATTTGCAATGGAAAATAAAATTTGCCAGGGGTTTCGCGGTATAGTCATCTAATAAAAGCTGCACTATGTTTAATGAAGGTAGGGCTTAGGGAAAAAGAATTCCAGATTCTAATATAATTGGTGTTGGCAATGAGAAAGAGATTGAGTAAGGACTTAATGGGGCATAGGCATTGGAGAAAAGAAAACCTTGACAGTCATTATGCAACATCTATCAAGCCCACCCTATCATCCTCCATTTGCAAAAAAAAAAACATTGAAAACAATATCGAAATGAATATCGAAGCACAAGAAGTGAAACAAAGCTGAAACAAGAACCTGATTAGTTTGGCCATAAGACAATCTTCCTGACAAAAGTGATTCTTCAAAAGAACCAACCAAGGGCCTCTGAATGGGGCGTCCACTCAAGCTTCTACAGAACCTTCTACATGGGGATGTAGGAGCTGATTTAATGGTTCTCTCCATTGAAGATGGACAAAATGTCCTCTGAGCGGCATTACCATCTTCAAACAATCTACGGTCAATCCCGAGTTCTGCTTCTTCATCGACATTTCTCACGCACTGATCATCTTCCTGTATCCTCCCATTTTGGCTTCCTTGTAAAACTTTTATTCTCTCAGAAAATCTTGGGCCAAGTGGTGACAGAGAAAGTGGAGGAGAGACAGATGCTTCATTATCACACTGCAATGGCTTATTGGGTTCTCGATACGTTTCAAAAGCAGATGAATACAAGCAAACAGTACCTTTTGTGGACTGTAGCTCCTGGGCATCTACCAATGGACTGCCGTCGGTAAAAATCATAGAAGAGAGTCTACTTGTATTTGCAGAAATTCCCTTCCATTCCCAGCAGCTTGAAATGGCTATGGGTAGACGTAAACTGCCGGTGATATTTGCTTTTTTGTGATCTTGTGAGGCAGAAACATAGAATCCATTAGTCTGACTGCCAGAAGTTGTTTGCTGGCCATTACAACTGATATCAAGCAGTTCACCTCTGAATGTCTCAGGGAAGAGTGTATTAAAAGGAGACAGCAGTCGTTTCCTGATTACTGGTCCACCAGCCTCTGATTCACTGTGTTTGTCAGCAGCGCCCACGAATTCATTACTCACTGAACTAGTTGCATTTGCTTCAAAACCGACAATCCTTCTGAGCGCAGTCCGGTTCCAATCAGTCTTATCCACAGGGCAGACAATCGATCCATCCGCAGCTGATGAAATAACAGCCAGAGTGCCACCATTTCTACACAAATCATCTAAGAACTCTGGGGGGTCCAACGATGTTTTCCGATCAAATTCTCCAATAGATGAGCAGAGGCTTCCCTCAGTTCCTCCGTTAAGGCCACTAGAATCATGGGCAGAGGCATATACGGGCAGACTTTGCGAAAGGCTGTGAATTGAAGCAGACAAAGCTTCATTTGAAGCAGCATGTGGTAAGCCCATCACCAAAAGTTGAACTTATCTCGTATTATGAGGGGCACACCCCCAAGTCGTTTTTCTTACACCTTCTCTGGTGTCAATTTCTCTATATGTATCTCTGAAATTCCCTACTCAGGCCTGATTCACTTTAAGCAAATTATTCACCAAATCCTTGCAACACCACCGACTATTTACTCCTATATATATATATATCAGAATAAGCTATTCTAGAACCATGTATCAGTCACAGGTATCCACAAATCATGCATTGCTCCCATACTAGACAGCATTATTCGGCAACAATGAGAGCTTTGCTGAGCCACATGTAACTTGAGGATGAACAATGCCAAGTTCAATGCCATCCCACTAGTCTGAAACGAATAAAAACGAAGAATTCAGAATCAGATATGGATCCAGTAAGCTCAGATCACAGACCACAGATTCTCAATCATAGGATCATGAGCCATAAAGAAAACAAGTTTCAAGCAAAAAACAAATGATCAAACAATACCACACATTCCAACAGATCAATGGGCAAACTTATCCAGAAACATCTGAGCCATAAACGATAACACAAATCATTCTCGGATTAATAAGCCTAGCAACACCTATAACAGGAATGATCAACACATACCACAGATTCCACTCAAAAGAAAAAGGATAAATGATCAAACAGATAACTTGATGACAGACACAAAGTTTCAAACAAATCATAATTCGAGAAGATGAATCAGAGATTGTCAGAAGGACTTATGATGGAATGGAAATGATCAGACAATGAACAGATACTTTTCAAAGTAATAGCAAAGGGGTTCCTGAACGGCGCACAATCACATAATTTTCCAGTAAAAACAGATTACTCATCCTCAGCATCATCATCATCGCCACCATTACCATCATCATCTTCGTCGTCGTCATCATCAACACAGTTGTAAACTTGAAGAAAAACACAGATGGATTCAACTACAAAGCTCAGTTAATTCAAAATGCCAAGACCCAACAAAGAGTAATAAAAAAACTAATAACCGGAATCGGTACTTTCGACCAAATTCGAGAAAACCCACGAGAGGACGCATCGATGAAGCTACAGATTACACACTCCTACACTTGACCAGAAATCCCGAGCAGGAACACACACATAAACACGAGGATCGATATCAGGAGAAGAATCCATCAAACCCAGAAACTGATGAAATAGCATGAATAGAAGGAGGCGACGAAGACGAAGAAGAAGAAGAAGAAAGGAAAGGCAATTGGGAAAGAAGAATATGGGAGCACCTCGTCCCTTATCTCTCCCATGTTTATAAACAAATCCCGGCAGCTCATCGCCATTACCAAAGCCTTCCTTATCTTTTCTTTTCTTATTTTTTCCCCTACAAGGCTACAACCCCTTTTGATTTTCGGACTGCTGTCATTTTTTTTTAATTTGTAAAACAACATATTTTTTTTCATTTTTTTTTATCAAAATATAAACTATTTTTTTAGTAGAAAGACATTTTATAATATAATGTCACCAAAGTACTTCATTTTATAAATATTCATAGAAAATATTTTTTTACTAATCCATTATACATTCGAATCTTTGTTAAATTATTAAAAAAGATTTTATTATAATGAAAGTAAAATTATTTATTTAATCAAATTTTTATAGGAACATTCTATCTAATTACAAGGTAATTTTTTCGTTTTGGGAAATTCAAATAGATTGACACTATCTTTATATTCAAATATTGTAATGAATAAAGAATCAAATAAAAGTTTTTGATAAGATATATTATTTTTAGAAAAAAATCAAATACAAATACCTTAATTTTCATAAAATTCCCACATAAATATAAACTATAAAATTCTCATTTAAATATCTAAACTTTTCAAAATTTTCACAAAAATATTTAAATTTTTGAAAATCTCCCGAATAAAACAAGTTTTGTTAACGATATTAACATGTCCAGATATTAAGTCATCAATTTCTGACAGATTCTATTATAAAATAAACATCGTTATTAAAAATTTGGATATTTATATGAAAATTTTAAAAAATTCAGATATATTTATATAAAAATTTTATAATTCAATCTTTAATAATAATGAAAATAAATCATATCACATCATAATAAAAATAAATTATATCACATCATATCACATCTATTTAAGGATAATAAAAATAAATCATATCACATGGATTAAAAACTAGTGATGTTTACTATTTATTTTTAGCATGAGATCAAATACAAAAACGACTCATTTCTATTTGCTATTTAAATTGACAAAACTATGTGTTCCACTCAAATTTCTTCAATTTACCTCAAAGGGTGAGTATTAGATTGACTATAAGGTACCATCAATGACAAAACATCGCCAAGAAAAAAAAAATTAAAGTAATAATTATCGTAGATAATACAAATAATTAATTGGAGAATAATGTAGAGTTTCACTTGAATAAAGATTACAAACAAAACCATTCACACATTAAAACAAAGAGAGATTATATATAACTCATGATTATATGGAATAATAACTAATTGGGCAGTAAAATATGAGTTTCACTCAAGTAGGACCCATATCAATGAGTTAATCATCCAAACTCATATTTTTCATTTACTATATACGCACACGCATATATATATATATATATATATAATGAGAAAAATAGAAGAAGAAAAACAGGAGAAAGAAGAGGTAGGGATAGAGCTTTTCAGGTCTTATCCTTGAAGAAGAGGGCCCAAATCCGTAAATAAAGCTCAACCCTCACGCCCACTTGGGAGATGAATGCCATCACGTGACTTCCAACGGGCTCACGTGATAAAGGACAAACGAATGATCCTACAAACCCAAAGTCACTTCCAGACGGAAGTCCCAACAGCAACAGGTTCCTAAATAACATGTTTTACTTGAGAAAAAGAAAAGAATGAAACATTCCCCGAACCAGACACAGGTTTCATTTATATTTCTGCGTCTCGTTCGAGTTGACGTACGGTAATGAACATGCTGCAATGAATGTGTATGCGCTTGAGATCGAGATCGAGAGGGAGGGTACCTTAGAAAGGTCGAGCAGCTTCTTGCATCATTTTCTTCACTCTGGTCAGCTTCTCTATCTCTTTCAGAACCTGAAAACCAAAAACAAAAAATCATCTGTAAATGTCACCCTTTTGCTCTACTCTCACACATTGCTAATGTCTTTGCCTTATAATGAGCTTAGTGTTTTTAAGGTTTACCTCCAGTGCAATGTCTTCCATGGATACTGCTTCCAAGTCTTCACACCCCAGCTGAGTCGCTACTTCTGTCGTTCCAGACAACAAAACGTCAGAATCAGTCAGAAGGTGTGATGGAGATGAAGCTCATATTCATAAAAGAAACCATCTTTGGATATGAGAGATCTTGCTCTGAAGGGAAATGGTTGCATCTGCTGTTGAGTACCCATTTCTTGATTTCTCATATGCAGCTCGTAGTTCATCAAATACCTGCTCATCCATCAAAAAAACAGTTAACGTCTTTGGTTATCCATATCCAACAGAGAGAGAGAGAGACCTTAAGCAGTTCATGGGAAAGAATACCTCAGGGGAAGGCTCTGCACTGGATGAAGCTCCTCTTGCCGCTATATCCAGAGGAACATCAATCCATATGGAGATCCCATGTCTTATAAGCGCACTGTTATATATTTGTGACAAAGAGAACCAACAAGACGGGTTATAAAGAACTACAAAAGAAAATTCAATTCAAGGTGAAACTTGAAAGCTTGTTAATGTGAGTACACAAAGTTGTCACTTGACTCTGATATGTTTATGTATGTATATACATGCATATCTGAGGTATATATGTATATTTGTGTGACATCAAGCTGCCATCGCAAAGAGATGCATAAAAGGGGAAAAATGAGTAACTATCGGATTAATTGCTAGATTCTATTAATCATTCCATGTGAGCAAAGCAACTGAAGGAGCCTTTAGGACCATCAGTCGTCACTTAGAAACAGACCATCTAAATTTTTTATAATTCAACGGGATCATGCTTGGAAGATGCGGATATTAAGAATTAGGTAAATGTTGGTGTATGTATAGACCACAAAGTTAGTACTAATTTTAAAAATCAAACTACTGGTGAAATTACGGCAAACTTATGTAGAACATACAGATTTGTTGAGCTCTGGACTGCTCCATCTCCTGCACAAACCACAAGTCGACCCATTGATGATAGCTGCTTCAGCACTTCAGTCTGCAACAACATGTAGGGATATCAAAGTCATGGCCTGCAAACAATCTTTTACATAGACCAATATTTACAAGAAATCGGATTAATTTGAATATGTACCAGTAAGAAATCTTCCATATCGATCAACCATCACACAGTAATCCGATTAGTTCAGAATCCGTGTTGAAAAGTGGCAGATAAAATGTGAAAGTTTACCTCAGACTCTTGAAACCCCTTCTTGTCAGCTTCCTTGTAAGCTCTAGCAGTTGTTTCGCCACCAGCTGCTTCTGCAACCAAGTTATCGCTAAAGAAAACAAGAACTGATATTGATTGGGGTTGGGTTTTAGGAAATACAAGATGAAGTCATAGATTAAAAGAGAAGGAAAGAGCAGTAACAAGGATTTATGGAGGTAATGACCTCATAGAGGTAATGATAGGATTTAAAAGGCATTTGTTTTGTGTCTGTATTCACTTTTGCAAGTACCTCACTGGCCCACTTTTGCAAGTACATAATCGGAAAAAAGAGATCCAATAACAATAAGAAATGAGAGAAATATCAAGCATGCTCAAAAGGGTTACGAGATCAATGGCAACCAAGACAGGCAGATAACGGGGAGCAACCCGTGATTACCTGTCAAAGTAGTAATATCGTAATGCCTCTGCCAAAAGCTTCCCTAAGTTGGTCTTAATGTGGTTGTTAATCCCTATTCCAGATTGAGAAGTCTCACATATCAAAAGTCCATACGACGGGCACAATTAGAAATCGAAGCGCCCAGCAGTAAGTTAACTGAAGCTAGTCTTACCAATCAGAAATATAGAAGTTCCTTTCAGTTCAGGGGCAATGTCAATAGCTTTCCTCTGAGTTCAGTTCAGACAGGTATGGTTAAAAATATAACTTCCTCCGAAACAAGGGGTGAATGTTTCTGGTGGACTCAAGGAAAAAGATCTCACCTTCACAACAAGTGAGGGAGCTGGATCAGCAACCTTGGTCCCTAAGCAACAGAAAAAGAAAAAAAAAATCGACCAGTGAGGCGAAGAATGTTTACAAACTCCGCCAAAACTCGAACAGTTAGGATCCATGGAGAAGCATAACAGGGAAGAAAGGGGCGGAAATTGGGTATCAGGCATATTATCGAACACTTGATGCCCAAGTACTCAAGAAAATGTTTAAAGGAAAGAAACCGATCAATCAAGACTGTAATGGCACCGAAACTAGAGAATTTTCCACTTCAAACACAGGCGAAGAACATGTACAGATTTCGCCAAACTCGACCAGCATTCGTTCACACGTCCTATCGTCGGAGAATAACAGGACGAAAAGACGGCGGAAACCAAGAATTGGGAAATGATCTCGAATACCAGGCAGTCACGAAGAGCAAGAACACTGGTCGTTAGGATATCGAAAACTCACCGGAAAACGCAGACTGGTCGGAAAGACAGCGAGACGGAGCGATATGCTTGCGGCAAGAACAAAGTCTAAACAGCGGCGACGGCGACGGGGGGTGAACAGCAGCCGGAAGATGAGATTGAGGCGAAGGAAGAGGAAAACGGAGGAATCTAGGCGAAGTTACAGAAGCAGCGGCGAAGATCTCCATAGACGGCGATGTACGGACCAGTCGAACTCGTCTCTATCTCCTTCCTCAGGACCTTAGCCTGTCTCCCCTCCCTAGATATTCGCCACGTGTTTTTACGGCGCCGACGTCATCAATTCCTTTTTTTCGAGACAAAAATATTTAATATCTATTTTTCGAAACAATGTAATGTAAACCCATTATATATATATATATATATATATATATATTTAAAAAAGGGTTTTTTCAACATAGGACGATATTTTCCAAAAAACCTCATAAAATAAAAATATATATTTATTTAGAAGAATTTAAAATCATGAATTTATGACACAATCTACATCTAAAGATTGGAAAAAGGGCATAGTGTTTTTTTGTAGGAGAAGGGATAAAAGGAATCAAAGAAAAACATCTGGTTTCAGATTTACATTGGGAGAAGATTTCACCAACTAAAGAATACAAATATCAACCTCTATATTTACTAAATGGATCTGTCTCTCTACAACCACCATTTCTCGTTCCCGCTTCACTTGCATCAGCTTCCCCCTGCATCATCCATGCCCTTACCAGTTCAGTTGCAGAGAATCCATGCCAAAAAATACTAGACACAGACAAGACAAAACCTGCTCATTTATTACCTCTCGCTTGACCTGTCTGAGCTCGAGATGGCGATCTGTGGTTCATTAGGGACATCGGTGTTAATGGCGGGGACGCTACAGCGTCTTGGTTCTTCTCGGGCAGGCCTTGAGCCATGGTTCTCTGGTTTCTCGAAGGTATAGAGAAGCTTCTCGGGACGATCAATGGCGGAACAGGAAGAGGTGAGGCGACAATGCTGGTTGATGATGGAACTGTACTTTTGCTGTCTTGGCTCCATGCAGTAAGAGGAGCCGAGTGACCGGCCAGAGCAGAAGACTTTGGACGATGTCGAGGTAGCAATGGAGGCGGGGGGGTCGGGAGCTCATGGAGCTCGCTAACCCGAGGGGGAGATGCGAGTGGCGGTGAAGCACCAGGTGATACCTTTGGAGAAGAAGATGACTGATGAGGAACCATGGCAACAGGTGTCGGGACTGGCAATCGGGAAACTGCACCCGAGAATGTCTCCGTGGAAATGGGTTTCGCTGAGAAGGGTTTGCTCACAAGTGGCCCGGAAAACGCATGCCTTGCTGCTTTCTGGGATGCAGCCACATCGTTGGATTCCCGTTCTACAGAGGGACGGGGTAATCGGGTAGAGATATTATTGCTGTTTTCGGTATCTTTCCCGTTCTTCATATGTTCCAACGGTGATGAATGCCATATATTTCCACTTTGGCTAGTGGGTTTTGCATTTGAAGTTTGGGGAGCTGGATTGTACCTCGAATCAATCGGGGTAGGTAATACATATGCATTCGCAGCCTGGGCCATGACGGATGGATTCATCTGCCTCAACCTATCTGTTAAATCGGGTTTTTTCTCCAAGAACAATGGGGCTGAATGGCTGCTCGCTCTGTGATCGTGGCTCGAAGCTTGGTGTTCTTCCTTTTTATATGCATACATCTGCACAAAAGCATAGAGATCGCATAAACAACTCGCTGTAACTAAAGAAATCATGGATCTTTCAACCCATTGCAGGTGTAGAACACATGACAACACAAAAAAACACACCGTTGCAGGCTCTGTTGCTGAAGGGCGTGGAAACGAGAGGTCTGCATCCTCGGCCTGGAAGAGAAAATGGAAGTTCTTGAGATTTGGTTTTTGAGTTCGATGAAGCAAGCAATAGACTGGATTATTTATTTATTTATTATATTCAGATTCGTCTTACCTTCATCGAGCTCCGAGGCGTAGAGAGAGCTTCCACTCTCCGAGTGCTCATTCCGCAGTTAAAACTGAGTTCCCTGTCTTCGTTAATGCATTGGTCATCATCATCATCATCCTCGTTATCTTCCATTTCATTTCCATGAACAGAGAGCTCGCAGTCAATATGTTGCTTCTCCGCAGCGATCCTAACGTGTTGTTCAACGGCCTCAAGAGATTTTATTCCATCTCGAAACATACGCATCTACTCATATACAAAGACGGGCACCTCAGGAAAACGCTTAATTTTTCAAGTGGATTGACATAGGTATACAATTCGAAGATCAATCAGTAAAATAATATTGTTGATCAATCTCTTGGGACGGACCTGAGCAGTGTGGTGGCGGGCTGCTTGTGTGAGAAGGCTTCGAGACTGTCCTTGCTTAAGAGATTTCAATCGAAAAAGGCACAATGTTGCCTCATCATGGAATTCGTTATGAGCGGCTTGTAACTGATGCGACACAAAGTTCTCTCCTTTCCCTTTCGGCCTCCCTTTCTCTTTCACGTGAGCCATCATATACTCGAAAACGTCTCTGTAAATTTAACAGATCGTATGTTTAGAAAGCAAAGCTAAAGTTTTTTGGACCAAAACCAAATAACAACATATTAGAATTCTAATAGCGAACCTCTTTTCATCGCATTGCCGCTTCATGTCCTGTTCAAATTGATGGCGACAAACCGATTAGCATTCTTTGAATACAAGAACATTAACAGATTACGGTCTAAATGGGTTGTGGGTATTGTATAATTTCCAGGGTTTCTAGCTTTTGGCATTGAATAACTGTTCAATTGTAAAAAACAAAGACATGACATGATACGATAATGAAAGTGATTTGACACACCTCGACAGTTCTAAGTTCGTTGAGAAGCGATTCCGAGGGGTGTGTAATCGTCTTGAATATATTTGTGCGCTGAAGAAAGAACAAAAGAAATAAATCATCATTCTCTTTAGATTTGAACTTCAATGTCTCACCGAGTGTAAGGTCGAAACATAACACTTACATAGTTGTCAACGAGTCTCTGCAGATCAAACTGAACTCTACCCAACATTGACAAGATTTTACCTGCAAAAAAAGGAACAATGTCATGGCAGTAAAACACAATAAGGGGAAGTAAATTATCTAACAGCTAATTTGCTTACCGCTTTCTTCATCGCTGTGTGGTGCAATTTTCTCCAAACAAGAACCCATTTCCCCCAACGATTCTGAGAACTCTGAAATTACCAAACAAAGGCAAAACCATAAAGTATATGTAATAATGAATACAAGATTGGAAAGGAATTTATGACAGAAGCTGGATTTACATATCAGCGGAGATGAATTATTGCTCACCATATGCACTATTAGCAGTAGCAGCGGCTGCAGAGAGTAATCTATCATAGCATTCTCTCATGTCTTGCATATCCTGGGAAACCACGAGAGACACGTTGTCTCAAGGAACTATCACTTCATACCCGATAAAAAGAGAACTTTTTTTACGATAATAACTAAAGACAAATCCAAAGAATAACTACAATTTCTCCAATCCTAATTCATGAAACTATCAAACAGCTAACAAGGAACAGCCGACGGACAACAAAAATTTCTTAAAAAGGAAGAAAATGGGGGTCCTTTACTACCAAACCGAGAGATTTCTAAATATGCTAATCAACATCAAGGGGAAAGCTAGTTAACTTGAATTATCAACACAGAATGTTTTGATCACTTTGCTTTACGAACTTCACAAACTCCAAAAGAGTTTCAAAGCCACTACTACCTTCATGGATAAAACCTACTTAAATCTCACACCATTCCAATAAAACCTAAATTTCCACAAAATCTTACTTTTAAATCCATGGCTAACTATTCTCCAATTCTACAACAATTAGATACACTTACAAATGTAAAATCCTTGAATCTATCATACCCCACTGCCCCAAATTCCCCTACTAAGAAGAGAATTCGGATGATTTCCTACCAAATAGAGAGTTTCTAAACATGTTCTTCACTTTCCAATAAAGAAATCGGCAATCAACAATCACTGATCGTTCCAGGACCAAGAAATATGTTGGATAAAGCATTACAATGATCCAATTCCCCTGAGAAACTCGATAAAACTACGAAGAATTCCAAAGCTAATACCCTCGCAAAGCATAAACCCTATTTAAATCCCCCACCCCATTCCGCAAAACCCTAGTCCCCGGCAACATCAAATACTAATAACCCAGAAAGAAAAAAGAGGGATCAGAGACCGGATGAAGTACCTTGGCTGCTCGGGCGAGCTCGTCAATCTGTGCCGTCGGCAAAAACTCTCCCTTGTCCTTCGCATCGACCTTGTGAAATGCGAATCTCCTCAACCTCCCGATTGAAGCTTTCATCATCCCGAGAACACGAACGAGAACAAAAACCCTAAAACGCGAAGATCTCACCAAAACAGACAACGGAAAGAGAGAAATTCGTCGCAGAAATCCGAGATTTTTATCACCGGAACGAGAAGAGAAAAGCAGATTCGCCAGACGAAATCGGAGAAACAGAGAGAGAATGAAGATAAGGAGACGAAGAGGGAGTGAGATTCAAGTATCGTCGAATGTGTTCAACGACATTGAAGGAAGAAGAAAAAAAAATCAAAGCTTCAGTTTTTTTTCTCTCTAAAGTTTGGTCAAAAAACAGATCGAAACAGAGAGAGACGGAGACGGAACCCGGAAGGGAAAAACAGCAAGAGGAATCATCAACGGCTGATAGTAATACACGTGTACGGCGATGAGGATCTACAAAGATCGACGGATGAGATAGCGAGAAAGGACACGTGGCGAGATCATAGTGGGTAGAACGGGATGGGGAAGAGGTCAAAAGTCAAAGATTGATGACAGGGAAGGAAAGTGATCATCATTATTTAGCTTTGACCGCCAGTGGGAGGGTCAAACCTTCCTTCCCCACATGCTCCCTCCCCTTTTCCCTTTTCACAATAATTGTTTTTTTAATATATATAAAAAGTTATTACAATTTAAAAAAGAAATCTAATTATATTCTGAATATTAACTATATATTAAAAATTTTCTCAACGTAAATAGAGCCGAATTATAAATAGTCAATGTTTTAGTTCATACGATTGACATCTCAAATCACAGGGACGGTGTTTTATTTGATGAGGTTTCAAATAATATTATCTTATGAAATTGGACCAACAATAAATTTGAATATTAGTATTCATGCATGTAAACATAAACAGACTTAGACATTTGTCCCATTGGTAGATTTGATATCTTTGAAAAATGTTCTTGGCGAACGAATGTTCAATGTATACACATTTCTTGTTATCATTGATTAATTAAAATAGACTCAATCATTACAAATTCATTTGCAAGGACAGGCCGTTTAAAATATATATATATATATATATATTATATAGAAATTGAATATAATCTAAGTTAATAGAATTTTAACTTAAATCGAATCAAATATAAAAAATAACCAAAATAATTGTGAAACAAAATTCGTAGAAAATATATATTCTCCTAATAAAACAGAATTTAAAAACCCCAAATCGGAAAAAAAAACCCGGTTATATTTTTTCGACGATGGCAAAATTATCGTACGTCTAACTAACTATACGGTATGTATGTTTTCTTGTCGCGGAGACACCCAAACTACTTTTGTCTGCTAATACATACGCACATACATATACATATATATATATATATATAAATGTATATACTCACGCTCTACTTTTTTTATATGTACAATAGCATATAGAATCATGTAAAATCATCATCATCTTCTTCTTCGTGTCGGGGTTTTACTTGTTCAGAAGCTTCCTCACATTCTTAATCCTTCTTCCTATTCTTGTTCTTCTTGTTTCTCGTCTTCTCACTTTCTCCTACACAAAAACACTGTTACATACATACATACATATATACATATTATATATATATATATATAATAAAGGCCCATCTCTAAATGTACGGATGCATGTACCTTCTTAACGTTGGATTGGCATTTGTTCAGCGGCTTCTGACTCACGGGACGATCACAGCCTGAAGATATCATATATATATATATATATATATATAAGCCAGTGTATGATGAATCAAAAAGTAATGTTTTCTTGATCAGATTTTATGTTTTTTTATACAAACTAAACTAACAGTTACAGAAATCAAACCCCATTAAAACACACACACACAACAGTCTCCATATATACAGATCATTATATATATTTCGGAACGTAACGTTTTCAGCGTTATATATATACACACACGTAATATCATTCGAGAAAAAACAACTTACTGTCATCGGATTTGTCGACGTGATCATCGTGATCAAGGAGGATGTCGCAGTAAATGCGGAAACTCGGAGATCGGGGACACAACAATATGCTGTTTTCGGGCACGCAGTCGTCTTTTCCGACGTCCGTACCGCTCGACCCTCTATCACTTTCCATCTCAGCGCCGTCCTTTTTCGCGTTCTCTGTGCGGTCAGAACCGTTGGGTTTGGATTCTTTCTCGGGCGAAGGATCGCCACCGAGAAACTGTCTGTTCAACGTGAAGCTATCAGCCACAACTCGGCTATGGATCGATCTGTGAGTGATGACCATCTTGAATTCTCCTCCCTCCTCTTCAGTCTCCGGCCGTGAAACGCCGCAACCCATTTCCCCGAACAAGCCTTAGAATTCAAAAAACGAGAAAGATGGAATTGGCCAGAGTTCGAATAAAGCTTAGAGGAAGATCACCACACCATGGGCAAAAATAAGTTTCTTTTCTTGTTTAGTGCCACAGATATTCACGCATTGGGAGAGAACCTAAGCCTTTGATGTTTCTTAACTAGAAACAGACCGGTTTCCATATTTAGCCTGTCTGGTTTTCTGCAGCTTCCCGTGTGAACGTTAACCGAGCCATTAACGTCCATCTCATCTTATACGTAACAGCATTCGCAGTATACTAGAGGCATGACCCTTTAGAGCAAACCGAATAACGATGACCAGAATATACAATACGTTTTCTTCATTAGAACCCTATCTCCATCTTCAAAAACTCGATAAAAATGGTAAGCAAAAAGGGTGTAAAAGAATTGGACAGATTGGGAATTGAGTTCTGATGCCGAGAGACATGAACCCTCCATTTCTGCAGATACCCTTTTCCACTATGAACCCTTGTCTATGATTCTGTTCTCCGAACAATTGAAATATGATCACATTCACTTCTATATTCTCTCTTTCTAGATTCCTCTCTTTTTGACACTGTAACCGACTTATACAATCGAGCTCGAGTAGCGTGAAGGCGCATGAAATTTCGCAAGAGTCAGCTAAGAATATCAGCAAGGGTTTTACTAAGAAAATATCAGACAGACCTATAACATGATCTAGTGCTATACAGTACAAAGAATCCGGAAGAACTGAATGTCATTTGAGCTCTTCTGCAAGTGCAACTAGACATGAAAACCAGGAGATTCTTCTCAGGATCAAAACATGGAACGGATTTTGTGATGTCAAAATGGTTTTTCTGCTGTCAATCTTCTCTAAGCTCCGAGCTAAGGTGAATCAGGTGGCGGAGGACCAAAGCCGGAGCCCTCTTCATCTTGATCGATGTGATCAATGAAGTCGGGCATATCGCCAATGTTCTCTTCTTCATCATTCTCTCCGTAGTTACTTTCTTCATCGTCACTCCCTTCAGATTCGTCTGTTTCACTGTGTAGCTGAAGGTTGATGCCATCATAGGTCTTGATCTCCTTGTGAAAGACATGATAAGCAGCCCACTCTTGCTCACCCGTTCCATGCATCTGAGCCAGAGCATTTTATATCGGAATCACAGAGAGACAAAGGAAAACACCATTAAAGCTAATCTCATTCCAAATTTGCATCATTCAAAACACCCTTCAGTGAACAGACAACAAGCTTTTTAGGCAATGTTCAAACACGGATAACTTCATGAACAGAGTCTGAATCAGGTGTCTGAGAACAAAACGCAAGAAGATTTACCTCGGTGAAGCGATACTCGTGCATGAACCAAAAGGATTTAGGCTGATTAAAAGGCAAAGGCATCTTCCCATCGGTGTGAACAAGAGCCAGTGTTTGTCTAATCCCAACCACGTCGTTGCTTACAGGATCCAAAATCCCCATCTCTTGCCCCATTGGTGTCCAATAACGAGACATTGTAACCACATTCCTAATCTTTTTGCTGAAGAAATACCTGTGCTTGTCTCCTCCTGAGAAAAATAGAAATAAAAATCACCTCTCGATCATCCATCTTTTACAGCCGAAGCTTTCTAATTTGTCATTAGGACGGAGACCCTTATCATAATTCAGCACAGTTCGCAAAACCCATGAACAGTTCATCATATCAACATGAGGGTTGAGAGTTTTTCGCCATCAATGGCGAAATCTTTTCCGGCTAGGAAACATAAAAAGGAAGAAAGTGGGTAAATGATGCCCAATGTGGCCTTTGGGCAGCTTGCTTCGTCGAATCCGTGTCGTAGATTACAAACTGCAACAAAATCTGTTTTCTCTTGCCCTAATCGATCCAGACTATCTTACAAGACGAAAGCGAATTTTCCAACTCAGAAACAAGGAAAAAAAAACCCCAGAAAAAATGGAAGTTTAGCCCAAGGAAACGTTTGAGCAACGTGCTTCGTCCCTCTTAAAACCCTAGATGTGACAACATCTGATTCGCTCAATATTCAGCCCATTTCACATGATGAAAATATTGAAAACTTCGTCCTCTGTTTATGCCGATTGTTCCTCCCCACCCAGAAAGGCAAAAACCGAAACATCAGGGCAGAGATCAAAACAACGTACCAGGCAAGGTACAAGGATCCCTCCAGGCGAGATCATCAACATCAACCATGAAATCGGCGCACAATGGCAGGCCAAGAACCTTCCTCTTCAGATAATGATTCACGATTTCCATGTCGTTTGGAGAAAACCTAAACCCAGTGAAAAGCTGAATCTCCATTGAAGCAAAAGGAGAATCGAAGCGGAAAAACGCAGGGGGAGGAGGAGGAGGAGGAGGATCCTGTGATGGAAGGGGATTCGGAATTGAGATGTTTTGATTCCGAGTGAGGGAGGCGCTCAAATGGGTTTATATAAAGACGGTTTTGAGAGACGTAACAGAAACTCCTTGGTCTGGGGCCCCATCGAGAATCTGTGGAGATGTAATTTTTATTTTAATTTTTTTTTATAAATGTTTTAATGTCTCTCCTTAATTAACCAATCAAAAACATGTCGGAGGGAGAAGACAGAGCAATGCGACCGTTTTTTGGCTGTTTCAAAATAAAAGATATATGATTTTAATGCGGAAAATTAATATGTCATCAAAGCTTAATTGAAAAGAAAGTAGCTTTTGAAGCTTAGAGGAATTGGATTCTTGAATTTGATCCCATTGTGATTCTCCAAGGAACAATACCCAACTTAACACATTTTAAAAAAATATATAAAAAAAAGTTTCATCTTTGCTTCATGGTTAAGGCAGCGGAGAGATGGTGTCTCATTGGCGATGGAGGGTATCACCATCGCAACCCACTTGAACAATTTGATTTTTTTTTTTCCGCTTCTTTAATCAAACGTAAAATTACAAGAGAAATGTATTTACAAGTCGTGTTGAGGATAAGAATCTAGAAAAATATGAAGAAGAGATGGCATGTATGGTGGTCATTGTTGTTGTATCAACTCAGAGACCAGCTTGAGAAGAAAAGCAATCTCCTTCTGTGAGAAATTGGGTTTTGTCGTGGCGAAATCATCTTCTTCTGTTATTGATGATGATGATGATGATCGAGAAGGTGATGATGATGGTGATAGTGAGAGCGGTGATGACGATGATGATGGAGGCCGTATCATCAGGGTCACAGCCTCTGTGATCTCTTCAACAAAATCCACAATCACACCTTCAATCCCCATCACATACTGCATGTACACTGCCTCTCCAACATTGCTGCAACATCCAAAACCCATGGCATTCTCACAAACTTCAGTAGACGACCATAGAGATGTTGTCTTTGACATTACACCATGTGGAAAAGATTGGCATATAACAACTAATTCCAGACACAACTAGAAAGTTGGATCCTACACACACTACCAGAAAAATACCCTGTTGATGATCAAAAAGTTCTCTAGTTGGGAAAAAACAAATTCTGAAACTTAAGGTCTCAAGTGTTGAGATTAGAGGCTTACTTGAGTTTTCCATAAGTGAGGAGAGAGAGGTTAGAGTCTTTGATCCTGGAGACTGCTGAGGGGTTTTTGAACACGCCTTTCACTTCTGAAACAATGCCCTGCAGCCCTCCCTCTAAGCAAACCTTAATAGCCTCATCGATCGAGTTTCTTCTCTTGTCATAGAAAATCGTAGCCCCAGCATCAGTCAGAAAGTAAACCTGGTTCAGTTGGGAAAAAAAAAGACAAGCTTTAGATCTCAAGTAGGTAGTGTAATAGTTCCTAAGTTTTTGTCATTGAAGATAAACCAAGAAATAAGGTGCAAGGAAACAGAGTACACACAGGGTAGGTGCTCTGCAATTTCCGAAGGAGTTGCGCAGCATCTGGTTGGAAGCTTGAGAAGATCACCGGACGGTCTTTAGCATATTCAAACACCACCTGTTGTTTGCCATTTTGAATCAAACGAAAAACTTGAGAGATTTGTTGATATCCGATAAAACCGTTGAAGATGAAGACAACAAATTGATATTCTCTAGTTTTGTAGTCAACTTTTCTGAAGTTAATGAAAGTTTCATAACCATTGTTATATCAGCAAACAACCATAACCACTGCTCCAAAACTTTCTGCTCAATCTCACCCAGCTACTAGGAACTAGTGTGGAGCATAATCATTGCTCCGAAACAAAACTTATTCAACAAAAAACTTATATTGAAATCAGGAGAAGCATTGGATTAAGTTCAATATCTTTTGATCAATGCCTACCCCTCAATGTATGAATCATATAACCCTCTATCCAAGTATGTATTCTGCTCCGACAAGGTGCACAACAAGGGTTGGCTTTAGCGACGTACCTGTAGAACTGCTTGGAGAACGTCAATGAGAAAATCTTGTTCGTAGACAGTGAAATCATCGAACTTCAACTCGATGTTGAATCCCAGAGTCTGCTCAACTCGTTCAAACGCTTCTTGTAGCGTGCAAAGGGAGTCATCTAATTCAACATCCCACTTCAAGATCTTACCCTCTTTGGATTTCCTCAAGAGGGTTTTCCCTGTTTTCCGGGGTTCCTTCTGAGGTCCATAGCACAAGAACTGGGACAGGCTCAAATCCGTCACTCTCTTCTCATGAACTGTTCCCTGTCCAAATTCACAAACTCTGGTGCATCAGGGCTATGTTCAGATAGATATGAAGAACAGAGAAAACCCCCCACACTGATAACCACAAACAGGAATTGAATCGAGATCAATGCAAGAACTCACATTTTCTTCGGAGTAGATGAAATCATCGTGGAAAATGACAGGGCAACGATCCTTCGTCACCTACAAAAAGAAACCAGAATGCTCGTCTTTTTCACTTTCCAGCATTGCCTCTATGGTCGCGTCTCTCTCGCTTCAACCTCCATCTCATTTCATTTCAATTTTTTGAAACTAAAAGAAAAAGAAAGATCCGAAAACAGCCGCAACGCAACCCAGAAACAAGAAAGGAAAGAGCGAAAAATCAGCATCTCCTTCGACGGAAAAAAAAAACTTATCACCCCAAAGAAAAATCGCACTAGGATTCAGGGTTTTGATTGTTTCGCACGATCTAAAGAATGTTCGCCGCGAAGATACCTAGTTGACTATAATTAGAAAACTCCGACCATGGAGAGGGAGAGAAAGAGATCGGACAACCAACCTGAACATCGAATTCTATGTAGTCAATGGGGAATTTGGAGGCGGCGTCGAACGAGAGAATGGAATTCTCCTTGAACCCTCTCATTCTCCGATCTGACGACTGCAACGCATTCATGCCGTTTCCTCGGTGTCCAATCACCGCGAATCTCGGCATCCTAAACGACGTAGCCTTGCTCAAATCAAGACCTGTCCCCCAGAACACATACCAAAAAAAAAGTCAGAGAAGAACATCAACGGCGAAGAAAAACCCCGACGAACGGCGACAGATTCGAGCGTTACCGCCGGACAATCCATTGGAGCAGAGCGAAACAGATTCCGGAAGACTGGGAACGTCGGCGATAAGCATAGCTTGAAGAGCCATTCTCCGATTTCCCAGAGAGGGATCGACGAGGAAGAAGAGAGGAGACGGGAGAGGTAAAATAGGGATTTCTGGATTTCTGTGAGAGATTCTGGCTCCAAAGAAGCTGTATATAAAGGCCAACGAGAAAGGGAAGCTGGATCTCCGCGTAGGAATATTCCCGCCACGTCAGCCATGTGTCTTTCGTGTAATTCCCTAAATTTCCTCCCGCCTTTTCAGTGATCCGGTACGGCGAAGAGTACGGTACTCATGTTCATAGCGTTAACGTGGCACAACACCATTGGTTTACTGATTGCTTGAACCGGAAGAAAATACCTTATCCGGAAATTTTTTATTTGTTTATTAAATAAGAGTCCATATAATTCCTATATAAATTTGGAATAATTCTAATCGATAAAGAATGAAAAATATAAAAAAACGTGAATGGGTAGGAATTATTATTTTTGGAATGTTGGTTTGTGGATTAGATTAGATCAGAGGAGATCCACGTATGCATGAAGTTTCTACGACGCGGATCCACGTCTGCAATTGCAAAATTACCAGAAGAACCTCCGACCACGCTTTAGTTTTGTACCCATTTAAACTCGGTTCGGTTAGTACCGGTTTTGTCCGGTTTAGCATAGTCCGGTCCACTAGAGAATTGCACTCGTGTAAATTTTCAATTAGTGGGCCGGTTCCAGCAGTTGTTTCAATTAGTAACAAGTAAATATTCACCAATTTATTATCAATTTCCAAATATATATATATATATATAATTTTTCAGTTGACAAATAAAATTATGAAGTTTGCAGTATCTCAAAAAACTACATTACAATTACAATTAATGCCGTTTTTTAATCGGACATGGAGTTTTTTTGGGGGAGTTTTTATGTATTTTTTTAATTTTCTTATGTAAAATTTATTATTTTAATTATGAGTAAAAAATAGTTATTTGTTAAAAAAAAGTGATGTATTAATATGGAAATTGTTGATAAATTTATGCATTTATATCGGATTGATAATAAATTCATGTATTAATATGGAAATTGGTAATAGATTTATACATTTATATAAATTCATATATTAATATGGAAATTGGTAATAAATTTATGGGATAATCGCATATAAATACCTAAAAATTTTAAATAAATATCTAAACTATAAAACTCTCAAATAAATAGCTAAAATTTTCAAAACATCCATAAATTCTCAAACTTTTAAAAATTTGCCAAATAAAATAATTTTTGTTGACGACGTTAATCGACTGAGCCATTAATTTTCGTCGGATTCGGTTATAAATTAAATGGCGTTAATTAGTTTTGATTTTATTTGAAAAGATTTTAAAAATCTGGATATTTATATGAAAATTTTAAAAAATTCATATATTTATCTGGAAGTTTTATAGTGTATTCAGGTATTTATATGAAATTATTTGTATCATCATCATCTATCATTGATAAATAAAGAAAACAAAGATTTCGGTCATAAAACAGAGATTTCTAATTAACTGTATGAACACAAGTAGTACAACTAGAGCCCTAATTGACACATCCAAATCCATAACCTGAATTTAAAAAAACAAAAAAACTCATATCGCAAACACCATTGCTTCCCTTAACGCCACAATAAAGCCAAAACCAACACAAACTCTTTCC